ATTCTCGTACTGATTTTAATCGGCTTTCATCGCTTCAATGCGCTTGAATTTTCAGAACCGGGCTCTTCCTAATTTGCATAATCCGTAATCGGCCCGTGGACATTACGGGAGAATAATGCCCTACAATTCATTGACAATTAACCAATCAGAGCGCGCGTTATATCGGGCACAAGCCAAAGCCATATAATAATATATTTTAAGTCCTTTCCAAACGCGAAGTGTTTGGTGCTCTCAAACACGGTCAAACATTTCTTGGTGACCAAACATTTTCCCGTTTGGACACCTTGCGTGTCAGATCGTGCTTGATAAAATTTGAACAACGTCAAACATTTCATCAACCATTGTGAAACATTTTGTTCGTTCAGACACGCTCGATACCCAGCTCAACATCAACATGTTTGGTCACCAAACAACTTTTGATCGTATTTGGTCGCCAAACGTTTCCCTTTTGGACTAGGGCTTTATAGACTTCACGCACCATAGCAGCTGCACAGAAATGAACAAATATTAGGTAAACGGGACTGAATATCAAAGATTTATCGCTATATGGATTTAAAACAGAGGACTAGGCATATAAATCGTCGTGTAATTGTTTTTTTCCGAACTATCGCTGATTATAACTCTTTTAAGTCATTAGATTAATTGCTGCCAAATACAAAGTTAATATGTCGAGCACTCACGCTATCGTGTTTGCGCGGTTACTACTCAAAGCGTGCATCGAGGCAGCTCGAACTAATGATTTTGTAGCTTTTACACGACCATTAATGTTAGGTGTTTCGCAAAATTGAAGTGGAGTTGGCTTCCTATGTTCGAATTAGTACTATGGCCAACTCGAAGGCTGAATTTCATGAGCATTTGACTCGTCCAGGCGTTAAAAATGACCAGGAGATGAGCATTTGTTTCCTGGAAAGTGACCTGTCTCATGTTAATGTGGTAAGCTTTGATGAGAATGTGTCTTTTTAATATTCGACGACCTTAATGAACTTATATGAGCGAAACGAACACTTTTCAATGAACGAAACCAGGACCAACATCTGCAACATTATATAATTAATATTGTATTTCATTTTTATAACTTAGTAACATCTAAACCTGAGACCAGCCGAAGTATTGTTTTAACAGGAGTACTCAACGACAGTTTCGAAGAAAATCCACCGTACAGTGTGCTTAACATTAGCCGAGTGTCGCTACGTCAATCTTGTTTAATATTTAACTTTCCTGGGAAAAAAATACCCGCTCTTCACCGCCAGCAAACAGGATTTTGAAGTTATCGGACTCCCAGCCAGCGCTCGACGTTGGGGTCGTCAACGAGCCAGCATGCTTTAAATTTGTCACCTAGCTAGCCAGCATAAGAAAGGTTTGCCAAAAGTTTGCCAGCATGTTCGGGTATACCATTTTTTGCCAGCCAGCGAGCGAGTAATTTCAATATACCATAGCAAGGTACATTTCCTTAAAACTATTATTATAGCAACGGATTTAGTATTGCGTACCCTGAACGCAAAAAATACGTTAATGGTTTCATTTAATTTTTACATCTGACTGGAAAAGTTTTGTAACACTTAAAAGATTACACTTACCATACAACAGTAAACAAAAGGGAAAGATAAAATGTGCTTACAGTGTTCTGATTATCCTTCAGGGATCCAAGCTTCACTCTGAAAATAAATCGTGAATTCCTTCCAAAAGAAGAGTGAAGTATAAACAATGTCCATTCGGTTAACAGGCGTAATCTAGATATTCAGTTAATGAAGATCTATTGTTGTTATTATAAGTACAACAAGCAACCTATGACTTGTTTCAAACGCTTACATACGACAAACTTTCACATTCATTTCATTTCCCACAGTTATTGTTCCAAAAACTCAACGAACCTCCATGCAAAGAAAAACTGTTTAGCTCATGAAGAAAAAGCAAAACAAGATTACAAAGCCCTCACTAGGCTTTGGCTACCAAGTGTCTGTCATTTTTATAATCAAATGAACCTACGAAACAAACAGATGTCAGTTACCTTTGTCAGTATAACATTTCCTTGGCGAAATAGCAAATCCCCGCAAAAGATTCAATTCAGAAGCCGGAAGGATTTGCAGCAAAAGCAGTCGTTATTCGTTCATCAGGCGATCGCCGCAAAGGACTCACGACAGAAGCCGCAAGGATTCGCAGCAAAAGCAATTGTTGGTTGTTCGTCAGGCGATCACCGAAAAGGCTCCCGACAGAAGCCGCAAGGATTCGCAGCAAAAGCAATCGTTGGTTGTTCGTTGCAATGAGGCGATCACCGCAAAAGACTCACGACAGAAGCCGCAAGGATTCGCAGCAAAAGCGATCGTTAGTAGTTCGTAAGGCGATCACCGCAAAAGACTCACGACAGAAGCCGCAAGGATTCTCANTGAAGTATAAACAATGTCCATTCGGTTAACAGACGTAATCTAGATATTCAGTTAATGAAGATCTATTGTTTTTATTATAAGTACAACAAGCAACCTTTCAGCTTTTTCAAACGCTTGCATACGACAAACTTTCACATTCATTTCATTTCCCACAGTTATTGTTCCAAAAAGTCAACGAACCTCCATGTAAAGAAAAACTGTTTAGCTCATGAAGTAAAAGCAAAACAAGATTACAAACACCTCACTAGGCTTGGCTACCAAGTGTCTGTCATTTTTATTTTCAAATGAACTTACGAAACAAACAGATGTCAGTTACCTTTGTTAGTATAACATTTCGTTGGCGAAATAGCAAATCCCCGAAAAAGATTCAATACAGAAGCCGGTAGGATTCGCAGCAAAAGCAATCGTTACTTGTTCGTCAGGCGATCACCGCAAAAGACTCACGACAGAAGCCGCAAGGATTCGCAGCAAAAGCAATCGTTGGTTGTTCGTCAGGCGATCACCGCAAAATACTCACGACAGAAGCCACAAGGATTCGCAGCAAAAGCAATCTTTGGTTATTCGTTAGGCGATCACCGCAAAACACTCGCGACAGAAGCCGCAAGGATTCACAGCAAAACCAATCGTTGTTTGTTCGTTACAATGAGGCGATCACCACAAAAGACTCACGACAGAAGCCGCAAGGATTCGCAGCAAAAATTAGTTTTAAATTAGTTTTAAATAAATAATTAGTTTTAAATTTATCACACTATTCATAGCATATCGTTTAATTTATATTACTCATATGGTTTGTTAGGCGCATTTGATCATATTTTCATGTTAATTTGCGCCTTAGAAATATTAAATATTATTATTATTTTATTAAAAGCAATCGTTAGTTGTTCGTCAGGCGATCACCGCAAAAACCTCGCAACCTAGATCGGAATGATTCGGAGCAAAAGCAATCGTTAGTTGTTCGTAGGCGATCACCGCAAAAGACTCACGACAGAAGCCGCAAGGATTCACAACAAAAGCAATCGTTAGTTGCTCATAACTGAAGCGATTGTGACAGAAACCAACGAATAATACTTGGAGTAAGAGGTTGGAAAAAACCTTTTAGCAACACACAGAGAGCTCTAGACCCAGCTAAACCGTTTCTAAGCGTCCTTTGAAGCCAAGAGTCACGGGTATATTCGACTGAACAAACTTTGTCAGAGTCTTGTTGCAAGGTCCGTCTGCGTTATCGTAAACATCGACCAAGCTATTTAAACCTGTGAAATTGAACATCTTTAATAATAAAGTGAGATATAATTTATGCGTGCACTGGATTTGTCTTAGTAGTCGTGAGCCGTGATTTTCCAAAACGTTCTTTTTTTATTTTCCGTCAAGCGTAAAATGCCTATATTGTATCAGTTTTCGTGAATTGTGAAAAGCCCTTTTTATTTTCCGTGAAACGTGATCTATACCCCCCATCACCCTCTATACTAGTCGACGAACTGAAACGACGTTTGCAATTTCGTGTGGTTCCTGTGCAATAACTGGGTGCACAGACCTTGTCAAAACGCCTAATTAGGAACACAACCCCTTTTGTTTGCGGTCATGTCTTTAAGCAGTGTCAAGTTTCTCATGGGTCAACTTATCTCCTGACGTTCCAAAGGTCATTTGCGGCTTCTCGTTAACATGATCAGTGTGATCTCGGATCATAAATCCTGACCCGGATCACCCCAAAGGAATTCGCCCCATTGGCCTTGTGTTAAGCGAGTGAACATGCCAAAAAAAGGAGTTTTCGCCTTTACGCCCGCCCAATANCGCCCAATACCACAGGCGACAGATGCCTGCCACATAATCTGGCCAAATTATTATCCAGACGTGCGCTCTTTGGTCAAGGAATTTTTAACTGGCAGAAGTGTCCATTTCGATATACAGTTCATTGTATTTATAATACACGACTCTAGTTGATTCACGGCACTAGCGTGCAGAATGAAACCGTTGCCTCAACTGGTAGGTATACGACGAGTTCAAATGAAAGCTGTTTTGGTTCGCGTTTATTACCGGAAATTCACTTGCTTGGCGCAATCAAACACGTCGCGCGTTATGCCTGTCAAATTGTACTTTGGCAATTTTTTCCGGACACTTGCTCAGTAGTTTGCTTTTCACAATTCTATAACAGTGTTTTCAAAATGACAAACGATCGCGAGTTCTGTAATCCTTCGCTGATTTCTGTCTTCTTTAGGCTTCGAAAGATCCTTCGGTTCCTGGTACGGAAATTCAGTTATTACATGATTACACGCAGAACCCACGGGTCCGACCAGCTAGCCTTGTGAAACACAACCAAAGGCAACAAATGATATATTTTTGTTCAAAGAAAGCCGCACAAAAAGACGTAAGTTGTTTCCTTCTCAACTACAAACTGAAGGAAAGTTTAAGAGTCAATGTCAGTAACTTTCAACTGGGGCCGTGCAATAGCGAAAAAACGAAAAATCTGAAAAAATTTCTCAAAATAGCCCTTGGTG